TGCCAAAAAGCTCGAGCAGAGGCTTCTTTGCTCGAGCCTTTGTTGTTAAATCAGATTTTCAAGTTGTAAGATTTATTCTAATTAAGTTATATTTCGTCCTAGACGGACCCAGATAACTCCAGAAGACCTAAAGCCCATCCAATCCTTATTAGAAGCCAATTCTTCTATAAAGTGAGGCACAAGGCCACAGAAAACACACTGGTTTTTGCTCTGAATTCTCTCTTGATTATTCTAGATCTAGTGGCGACTTTTAGGGTTTTTGGTAGTATTGAAGGTGAAGATCCTCAGAAGAGAGTGCAATCCATGATGATGAAGACCACAACAACACAGATGATATTTTGCATCGTCATAAGTAGCTAATTCCTCTCTTAGAGCATTGGTGTAACCCGAATCTGAGTTTTATGGTTTGATTATTCTAACTTTGGGAATTTAATTGTTTATGTATCTTGATTGCATGATTATGAGCAATTGACTTAGATCAATTGGTGTTTGAATAAAGTAATGATTTTTGAATGATTAATACATTGTCTTAGATTTAATTTTTCTTAAATTATTTTCAACCTATTCTTAATGGACAAGATTGGCGGCATAAGGGCTTCTCAACAATAAGAATAGAGATCATGCAATGGTGTTCCAACGTTTTTCATGAATGAATATTTTCATAGTCTATGCCTAGGGAAGACAAGTTATACTACAATATTAGTTAAAAGTAGGTAGGTAGATAATTTGTGGCATTAACCCCTCAACAAGGTAAAGTGCATAAAACACTCCTAAGTATACTCTACATAGTACTTTCACCCCTATTTAAAAAAGTGTGCTATTAACCCCTTATTCTTTAAAAATTGAGCAAAAACACCGCTCAAAATACTTTTTGTAGAAATTTGACATAAAGTAATGTTGTAATGTCCATTTTGCCCTTTTAATCTTTTGAAAATGTCCAAATGGATGTGTATGTTAATAATCTCATAGTAGAGAGGTGTGTTATGTGCACATTAACTATACTTAATCCATTTTTAAGGATTTTCTCTCATCTTTTCAAAAGAAAAAAATAATAAAAATTACTATATATATTATAGAGGGCGAGGCCAGGGCACGTGCCCTCGGGCCTTCATTGGATCCGTCCCTGTTGTAATTTGCACATGTTCCTGGAAATCCTTATTTTCATAGGATATTTGGACTGAATTTGCTTTCAATTATGTAACGGGTGGACGCTTGCCCATTTATCCAAAACTGTTGGGTAGTACGGCATACCCACCCATTTATACCCAATCATTTTTCCATCCGGATTCGATATGGGACAAATAACCTTTGTTACATTCTCCTCCACCCAAACTCACAATGCCCTTGTTGCGATTTGGGCCAACCTACCTACCCAGGCTGTAAACCCGGATGCCCTCCGGGCCTGGCGCTTGGCGTGACACTAGATCAATGATTGGGTCTGGCTCTGATACTAACTGCAACAGGTGAGCTCTTACCCATTTACCCAAAAGCTCAAGCTATTGGGTAGTGCTGCATACCTACCCATTTATACCCAATTATTTTTCCATCCAAATCCGATATGGGACAAATAACCCTTGTTACAAATTACCATAATTTGAGTAATTCCAACTTACTCGGGTAATTTTAGGCAGACTCCTTCCAAATATTTAGGTAATCCGGCACTTGATACGTAGCAATTTACCTATTTTTTACTTGGTCTTTAATTACATGTGACAATATGTAGGCGACTTAAAGCTTCAAAGTTTCAATTCCTTCGTGGAACCGTTTGTAGAGTAGCACATCTCCTTTAATTCCTTACGAGTCATTTCCTTTCCGTTGTTAGTATAATAATCTGGTGTGTCAAGTTCTCATAGAAGTACTCACCACATATCACTCTCTTATTAATTGGACATAGCTGAAATTGGTGATATTAAGTTAGGCAAAAGAGCAAAATACCCCCCTATACTATACCTAAGTTGCATAATGCCTCCTTGAATTATTTTTTGAAGCAAGTTGCCCCCTTCAACTATCAAAAGTAAGCAAAATGCCCCCTTAAAAAGTCACCAGAGGCTAATTTCTGACCAACAGAAGAGCACAATTACTAATTTACCCTTACTTATTAAATTATTATAATAAATTAAAATATCTACTATCATGAAATAACCACTTTGCCCCTACTTCTTTCCCCTTTCATTTTTTTTTTTCTCTGCGTTTTTTTTCATCTCTCTGCTTTCTCTTTCACTTACTTAAGGACAGACATAGACTGTGTGTGTGTTGTTGTGTATTGTGCTGTGTATACATTCTTCGTACCCAGCAACATGTGGAGCTTCTCATTCACTCATATGAATGTTTAACACAAGTTCTTAGCTGGCCGGGTTTGAATTTATCTTTTCTGGGTTTTGTTTCACAGTTCCAATAGCCACTGTAAGTAATAGTATTACTATATAAAGATGAGTTGGGTTTTGTTTAATGTGTTCTATTTTTTGGGTGAAATTTACACAGGGAGGTGTTTGGGGGTTGTGTTTTGTTTTGGACCTTTATTTGGTCTTTTCTTGGGTTGGTTTATGTGGTGAGTAAATTTTGTTGTACTGTTTTGGGGAATTTTCATCTCCCAATTTCACTTAAACTTGGAAACAATTTTGTTGATAGTGGTGTTGGATTGTTCTTCTTTGTAATTTGCTTTTCATGATCTTCCAAATGCATTGATGCTTGTTGTCTACCAACTTGTCAGTGTCTTCAACTCACACTAAGATGGTGTTTTCTGTGCCAGGTCCTCTAATTTTAGTGAAAGAGAAAGCAGAGAGATGAAAAAAAAACGCAGGAAAAAAAAATGAAATGAGAAAAAAGATAGGGGCAAAGTGGTCATTTCATGATAGCATATATTTTGATTTATTATAATAAATAAATTAGTAATTGTGCTCTTCTGTTGGTCGGAAACTAGCCTCCGTTGACCTTTAAGGGGGCATTTTGCTTGCTTTTGATAGTTGAAGGGGGCAACTTACTCAAAAAAAAAAAGTTCGGGGGGCATTATGCAATATAAGTATAGTATAAGGGGTTTTTTTTGGTTCTTTTGCCTATTAAGTTATGGAAAACGCTTGCCTTAGGCCGCATCAGCAGATAATTCCTACTTATGCTGACATGGACCAATAAGAGAATGCCACGTGTCAAATAAAAGTTCAAATAAATAAAATAAATCCAACCATGGTTAATCTTACGCCCCTTCTCTCTCCGCTTCGAAGTCTCCGGCGACCGGCAGAGAACATGTCGTCTACTCCGCCGGTCCTCTCCTCACCAACTTTGGCTCTCTCTCAAACACGCTACCGAATCCCAATTGTTCAAACCTATGTGCCACCCTTACAATCCCCAACACAACCACCACGGAATCCATATTAACAGATCTGCCAAAAACCTATATCTAAACCCTCATTTTGGCAAGAAAAATGGCATCTTTGGCCTTCAAATCCCCACCTCCAAAGATAGAACAACAATCCTCTCCAAAACCCTCATTCGGCTGCGGCCATGACTTCGTGGAGTTTTTTGGAGAGGCGGAAGATCTGGCGGTGTGGGTCGGCAATCTCGGAACGGACTCTGCGGATGGAAGATTGGAGGGTAGAGACGACAGCTCGGCAGGTGGCGAGGGACCAGAGCTGAGAGAGGAGGTCGTGGTGGCGGGAGAGGACCTCGGAACGGCGCAGTGGCAAGAGAGGACCTTGGAACGGTGCGGGCGGCTGATGCTATCTTGAAGTTTCTCGACGCGGGTGGCGGTAGTGGTGCTCTCGCTTCCTCTCGCGTTTTACCCATCGCCCTAACCCATATATATTGGTTGGGAGTGGTGGCAGTCCTGGTGGTGATAGCAGAGGTGGTGGTGGTGGTGGTGAGAAGTTGAGGCTGTGTGTGTTGGAGAGGTTTTGGGCATGGTTGGGGCGGTGGTGAGAAGGGGCGTAAGATCTAACCATGGTTAGATACAATTTTTTTCTTCACTTTTATTTGACACATGGCATTCTCTTATTGGAGTATATCAGCATCAGCAGACAATCCCTGCTGATGCAGCCTAAGGCAAGTATTGTTCTTAAATTATTAACAATATGCATGAAAAAGGACAAAATTAATGAACAAAATTAATATCTGCTAGCCTTAACTAAAGTACTAAAGCATATTAATTATCAGCGACTGTATATATAATTGGTATTTACATTTGATTTTTAAAGGTCCAAAATCTGAATCATGAAAACGATTCAGTACTCGTAGTTAGATTTTTCTTACATCGATCGATATTCTGAAACATAAGATCATAAAATTACTAGGCAATTTGTATTGAAGTTACGTGGTGTGTTAAAATCCATTTGATGTTTCAACCTTCTAGCTGGTTGGTAAGAGGATTAATGGTGTGGACACTCCAAGGTTATTAATTGACCATTTTCTGTAATTAATGCCACATAAGTGGTGTTGGTAAAAGCATGGACCTCTTTTTTAGGTGGTATTGATCGATGCATGTGCTTGCAATTAATTTCTACACCTAACAAGAGAGAAGTCAAGTGACTACGAATTGTGGTCCTTTCTTTGCTGCATGTCCTATTTACAGAACTACTGCTAACTAAATCTATCGCCAGCTCCACAAATTTTCTTTTCCAACCCATCAGAAATTTTGAATAATGCAATAATAATATTTAACAATTTCAGAATGCCCTTCAACAAAGTCAGCACATGCATCATGGAGGGCTGTCATAATTTCAACCCTCTCTTCCGGTTCAAAAATGTAAGATGCAAGCAAGCATTCATTGATATTTATTTCAATGTTCGAGTTGATTTCTTGCAAGTTCGTGTTGCTTCAATGAGATTAGATCATCTGTAGCCATTATAAATTTGGCAACTTTACCCAAAGTTTCATTGATCGAGCCCACAAAAAACTTTTGAGTGTCTAGAAAGTTTATGATTAGTTGCAGCCAATTTGTTTCTCAATAGTGACTTCATCACTGTTATGTCAGATCTAAGAGCTTTCATTATGAAGAAAAAAACCAGAGTTATGTCAACCACAGTGGAATACTTTTTTCAATAACAAGGTTGATCCATAATAACTACTAACATTTTTTGGGGTAGCAAAAATAATAATTTGTAATGCATTGCATATTGAACTGTCACCAATTAACAATATTTATCAGTATTTATATAACCCCCCCAAAAAAAAAATATCTATCAGTATCTCATTCTAGAATAATGTTACAATGCCATTCTGGCATGTATCCAGTGGATGTTTGCTTTAAATCTTCTCAAGAATCAGTAGACGCAACCGTCTTTCTATCTGAGCAATTATGGACCGATCTGTGAATCTAGCTTGTAGCATCTTCGAATGGAGGCAAACCCCAATCATTTGGGTTGAAATCCAATAAAGAGCTCAGAACCTGGTCTGCAGTTTCATGGAAAGAAATATCCAGCCTTGGATCTGGAACCATAACTACAGACCTGCACGTGCAATCAAAATTTTGTCACCAAGAAGTGAAGGAAAATATTCAGTCAAATATGGAGCTGTGGTTTTGAGTGTCAACATTTATTTATACATGTTGAAAGATTGCTATATTCAAGCTAGTCAAACAAAATATTACATGTTCTCCACAATAAATTTTCAATTATATTGCACCTATTCCCTCTATAACCTCTAAATTATATTTCAATAAATTCCTTTGTTAGTGTCACTAATCAAAGAAATTAGTGTTAAAAAGACTCGATAAAACATAAATGATCATTTATAGGTTACACATTTTACAGTGATAAATCTTCTGTACAATGCACTTGTTTTGGAGGTCCCAAGCTCAGATAAGGAAGAGAAAACAGTGAGAAAAATCTAGTCGAACTACAAACTAGTATTAAGTGGCAACTATTTCAAACATAATTCTAAGGGTAAATTAGACTGGCCTCCGTTAAGGTTCGGACAAATTACACACAGATGGAACGTTTGGCATTTATTACTTTGACCTCCCCTAAAGTTTTGTGCATGTGCTCAACCACCTCCCTCAAACTACCCAAATTTTATAAAATGACAAAATTACCCTTGCTTTGTAAGAAAAGATAATAATAGTCTTAAGTGTTTGGGTAAAGTACAGTAACACCCCCTGAGGTTTGCTAAAAGGACACTGAAAGAAAAGTTTTCTTATTTTGGGACAATGACACCCCCTGAAATTTGATACATCTACCAAAGACACCCAATGGTAATAAATTGACATTTTTACCCTTTAATTTTATATTGGCTAATTTAAATGCTGAAATGACCTTTCTAACCTTATACCCATAACAATTTTTTTCCTTCTCTCCTTTCTATTTTCTCTTCCTCAGACTATCACACATTAAATTATAGTTAGCTCAAGTCAAATTCATCACTCTTCTAACTAAAAGATTTTGCATAAATTAAATTATACAATTCTTCCCAGTATGTTATTCATGATACATTATTAGAAGTCACTAACTTTATATTATGTTATCTAATTATGTGTGTATTATACAATTATTTTTTTATTATGTGTAAGTGTATCACAAATGTAATTTATATATATATATATATATATATATATCATTAATGTTCCACAAAGTGCTCTGCCATGGAAATCATTAGCTAATTCAATTTAATTTCAAATATATTTGTATTGACCTTTTATATATATATATATATATATATATATATATATATATATATTGTGAGTGCAGAGAGGGGTTGTGAAAGGAGAAGCACTGGACTTTTAAGTGCATTGGATTGGATCCAAGTTCGTTGATGAAATATATGATATAACTACATTTTGTTATTAAATGTTTGATGATGCGGATAAAGAGTATGTAGATTTACAGTTTTTTATTATAGAAGTCAACAAACATTTATTTAAGGTAACTTGTAGAGCAAAAAGATTCATTATTACATAGTACATGACAATCGTTAAACTAAATAGTATGAAAAAAGTTAGATTATTTTATTAATTATGTGGTACAAAAATCTTTATTGGACACTGTTTATTAAAGTAGTCAAAAATAAATAAATAAAATCAATTCTGGCATCCTAACATCATTGAAAATAAAATACGGCGTATGCATGTGACAGTATGTGTGTATATGTGTGACGATGTGTGTTGGTGTTGGGGGCTGAGGAAGAGAAAATAGAAAGAGAATGAAAGAAATTGTTATGGTATGAGGTTAGAAAGGTCATTTCAACATTTAAATTAGTCATATAAAAGTCAAAGGGTAAAAATGTCAATTTATTACCATTGGGGTGCCTTTGGTAGATGTATCAAACTTAACGAGGTGTCATTGTCCCAAAATAGGCAAACTTTCCTCTGAGTGTCTTTTTGACAAACCTCAAGGGGTATTACTGTACTTTACCCCAAGTGTTTTAATAAATCCAACAACACATGTACTGAATTACCCTTTTAAAGTCAGATAAATTACAACGTTACCAACCATCATTCTTTTTTTCTATTTTTCCTTTTTTTATTTCTTTTTTTTTTTTTTTTTTGGCGACCTCCACCGCTACCGCCACACCACAACCTCCATGGCTCACCACCACCACAAGCAAAACATCTGAAACCCACACCCTTCTTGCACAGTACATTTTTTTTTTTTTGGATTGTTCTTGCTGTTCTTTGAAGATCTGGATGAGTATAATATGGGTTCAAATGGGTTGTTTGGATGATTGAGGTTGAAGGGGTCTGTATGAGTATAATATGGATTCAAATAGGTTTGGATGGTTGAGGTTAAAGTTAAACTTTAAAGTGATGTGGGTGATGGAAGGCTGCCATAGAGATACCTTTACAAATCATTCTTAAATTAAAAATCATGCATATACCAAAGCAAAAGAGGTTGAAGGCTGTATACCAATGACCAAACATGGAATTGCATCAAAGGAGATTTGGTGTTCGAATTGCATCAAAAAATTATACCTTTACATCCAAACGATTTGGTGCTGATGTAAAGTATCAAAAAATTATATTTTGACATCGCGGTCGATTCGCCGTCGTCGATGAGTAATCAAGACGTGTCCAATGTCGGAGGTATATCTAGGAAATCAGATCTTTAACATTGTGGTTGTGACTGTATATGTGTGTGTGTGTATATATATATATATACACACACACACACATATATAAATAAGTATAGGGAATAAATTGAAGATTATAGACACCATTATTCTGAATAATCAAAGTAAAAGATGGGTGGGGGAGGTAGGTGGAAACTGGTAAGAAGAGGAGAATTTTATTGAAGATTTGGAGATCCAAAATGGGTCTTGCACTTGCACCAAAAAAATCTGAACTTGGAGGCTTTGCAGCTAAAAAAAAAAAAAGAACCGAGTTTTTGGTTTCTTTAGATGATTTGATGAAATGGGTTTTTTTTTAATGGAGAGATTTGTTGAGTTTATGAACACAAATGAATTGAAGTTTTGGAGACCTCAAAGGGTTTTGCACTTTTTGCACCAAAATGACCAGAACTTCAAGGTTTTGCAGTAAACAAAGGACTAGCTTTGGAATCAATGTGGAGGACTTACCATCTAATATGAGTATTAGTCCAATTTTCAATGTGGAGGACTTGTTTCCTTACCGAGGCACCTTTGAGCCTCCCACTTTTCCAGCAGGTACATCCACAAGTGCAGTTACATCTTCATCAGCACCAGTGCCTGTTCTTCCACCAAGTCTGCCATGGAGTACAGATCAGATTGCAGAGATACTTGACCATCAGATTATTGCTTCTCATCAGGGTGGTTATCAGCCATACCTTGTCTGTTGGAGAGATCGTCCAGATACAGATGATGCATGGATCACAGAGGATGAGTTTCGTCGCATTGACCCAGATCTTTTGGTGCAGTATCACGAGCTTTACTCTCCGGAGGAGAGTTCTTCTCAGTCGGGGAGAATTGATGGAGGTCCCGAGCTGAGTGGTCTACGCACTTACTATAGGCATAGACGCAGAGGATAATTTACAATTTATTCTGCCTTATTTTATATTTGACTTTCCGTATTTATTTATATAAACCCTAATTTTTATGTTTGACTTTCTTTAATTATCTAGGGTTTTATGCCTATATAGATGGCTGATGCATACATTGTGAGGGACGCTTTTATGATTATTGATATTGATATTCAGAATATTGCTTGAGTTTCTTCCCTCTATTCTTCTCTTTCTCCCTCATTCTCTATTCTTCTTCTTCCCCTACATCACTAGAACTAACTGCAGCAAATTGTTAAAAGCTAATTTTCACTTTTACAACATGGCATTTATGGTGGAATAGGAATCAAAAGTTGCATTACAATGTTTCTGTAAATCCTCTTTAGATTGCAAGAAAAATCATATGGAATGTGGCAGATACCTTGCAATAATCTGCAAGATCTGGTGGAAATGTTTAGTCTTTAACTTCTGGATTATGTGATTGATGTTGTGGAGTGGTTAGGAAGGGAGTTCTTCCCCTGTATTTTTGGTTTTGCTTTCCCATTTGTGGCCTTTTTCTTGCTGATTGCTCTGCTTGCCATCTTTTGGAAGCGGGTGTTTTTAGTTGTCTTGTGATGTTTTGTTATTGTTGGGAGGTTCTCCTCTCTGTTGTTGTTTGTTTGGTTTTAATAAAAGCTTGCTTAGAAGGGAGGAAGAAAAAAAAAAAAAAAAGTTGGGGGGAGGAGAAGGCAAAATTGAATAAAGGAAGAGAAAACTGACGTTATAGAGATGCAAGTGCAGCGCAATGAATTTACAGGTGAGGGTTACAGACACCATATTTCATGAGAGTTGCAGCTGCGAAAGTCTTCAGATATCAAAAAAAAAAAAACGCATGTTCAAATCTGAAAACATGAAAAGCTCCAAGTCCCCCTTGTAACCTCTTCCCTACATTTGGGAATCTTGGTTTAAACTCTTCACTGTGGGGTAAAAGGTATTATTGGTTCATAACAATCAAATATACTTAGTAAAAGATAAACATGAGTCTTACTGCCATCCAAGCTTGAATGCAAAAGAACGGCTCCATATTGAGAGCAACAAGGATCAGCCCCACACACAAGAAAATGGAGACAATACTCAATGTTACTGACGCAGGACAAGTAGTAACCAGAAAGAAAGCAAGGGATGAGAATAAGAAGATGAGATGAGAGGCTAGACGAAGGAGGTGAGAAGACAGACGAAGGAGGTGAGAAAATAGATTGAAGGAGGAAGGTTAGAGAGATTGAGGGATTAAGAAAAACAAGATCAGGAGGGAGAAAAGACACGAGGAGAGTTCGCAAACTCACAGTAATAATTCAATATTCCAAAAACTAATTGTCTAATTACATTTGAGCCTTTATATAGGCACAACATGAACAAACCCTAAAATATTAAAATACTAAAATATCCCTAAAAATAGAACACTGCCAAAAATAACAAAAACAATTAAAAATAAAACCTAATTACATCAAATCCCCAATTTCATTTATCTTTGCCTCTTCTCCTAAAGTAGGGGCGGAACACATGCAGCTCATTCATGAAGATCATAACTCGTTCTCCATCAGTTATATTTCAGTAAAGTTCTCTATAAGCAGAAAGCAAACCATCTAAACCAAGCTTGTAAACCACGCATATTTTCAATCCTAAATGCAATAAAAATTTCAGTTCTAAGCAACGAAATAAGAAATATATAGGTATATTTAATATATTTGGATGTTGACAAAGTGACTAAACCAATCATTCTTTCAGTGCTTACGAGTATAATGATTTTGGGATGTCTAAAACCTTGAAAGTTGAAACTAAAAGCAAGCACTAAAAAGATGTAGAACAGCAAATTCAATGGCATTATGTATCAACTGGTTTTTCCATTGTGATAAATTAATTTGATTTTACATGAATATTAATTCATTCAATTATATATATGGATTTCATATGCCTCAGCAAATGTACCGGCCAAAGTGTATGATTCAGCATATATCCAATGATATATCAATAATTACACATCTAGAAAGTATGTATCTGAATAAAAGCACTTACATTCCAGCATTCTTAGCTGCAAGAACTCCCGAGGGAGCATCTTCAAAAACAAGAATCTTATGTGGATCTACTGTGTCAACCTGTTCATACAGAGATTTTCATGATCCAGTTAAATTGACATTCCTGATGTCTTGTCAGACACAGAGCAATAAACAAAACTAACGGGAATTAACATGACTATCCCAAGAGAATATATGACATCAACTCAGCAATTAGTTAAAAATCCATCGCACAGTTATACCTCGAATCTTTTCGCTGCTGCAAGAAATATATCCGGTGATGGTTTGCCTTGTTTAACTTCTGGATCATCACCAAGAACGACATGATGCATCAGTGAGAAAAGTTCACCATGTCTTTTGGTTTTTAATTCAAAATGCCGCCTGTGAGAACTGTAAAATACATATTTAGTTGAGTAATGCACGTTAAATTCTTAATGTTTCATGGTTTGACTGGACTTGCAGATGCTTCCATAAAATCACTCATTGCAAAAGTACAAAAACAGAGAACTCAGAAGGAGGCATCTTACCCTGTTGCCACACAAATTGATATTCCATTTGCATGAAGATGTCTAATCAGACGGCTGGCTCCTAAAATAAGAAAAAACATAGATAAATAAAGCAAAACGTGAACATTCAATTGATTTTCTTATCACAATAAAGTAAGGTTACTCAAGAATTCTTGAAAATGAATAAATTGAAATGCTAAATGCTACTATACTGTTTCATTTTGTAATCACTTGTTAACAACCATCTACTCTAAAAGCTTAAGCTGTTAGAGAGAGTGTAACTTTAATATTTAAATCCTTCAACACACTCCCTCACTTTTTCAATTTTTAATTAAGGTGACGGTGAGGTTTGAACTCGAGACCTTTGGCTCCGATACCATGTTAACGACCATCTTCTACTCTAAAAGCTTAAGCTGTTAGAGAGGGTGTAACTTTAATATTTAAATCCTTCAACGGCACTCAACTTAATTTAACCTAATATAGTACTGCAATGAATCATTACTTTAGTACATCATTTGACATATTAAAAAAAATGTCACACTGAAACAAAGCCTCCTGCATAGGACATCATCATCATCCTTACTTTCATCCCATATGAATGAGTCAACCACTTGAATTTTCTTTTTTCATTCTATTCCATTGCAATCTCCTATTATTATTATTATTATTTATATCATTTCTAATTGTTTCATCCCATATTAATTTTTGTCGTCCTCTTTGACGAATGTAGATTTCTGGAATTTTGTCGTTGGTTCTCTACACTTCGTGTAAAAATAAAGAAAAACCTACAAATACTTAACTTAAAATGTATAGTAATAAGCAGGGTCGAACCACACATTCAAGATTAGATTTCGTTGTGAACTCAAATTCAAAACCAGAATTTATGGGATGAAAAAATATATATTTTAAAACAATTTTTGATTTCTTGAACAATGAAATTAATAAAAAGAACTAATACTAAAGAAAACAAAAATCTTAAGGAAGTAGAATCCACCACCATAAATCAATATAAATAAATTGTCTAATTTCCTTGTATAAATTTTTCCCAAATAAATAAATACTTCACCAGTCCAATTAGAACTTAAAAAGATGAAGGAAAATATAGCATTAAACACTTGGATATTTATGAGTGATATTCTTGTAAAATCTCATTGACTACCTCTTGCTTGCTAGAGAGAATAAATAGTGGCAGACATTCCCCGTATTTCCATTAATTGGCATAAAACGAAGAATCCTTCCTTTATTTCTCGAGTAAAATGTATTGTAAATAGTGTGGCACTGTGGCATATCACAAAGAATGCTCCCTCTATTTTTTCTACCCTCTAACCTTGATTGAGAGATTTATATCATTGAGATTCACAAAGAATTCTCTCCAGATGAATAATTAATACACGAAATAAAAGATATTTATTGATATTATAACCATGGTAGCTTCATCACTCCCTTAAGAGAGATAATTATACTAACATAAGAACAGGAAAATAATAAATAAATAAATAAATAACTAATTTTATTGAATGAGAAAAAACAACAAAAATAAATAGCTCTCTGTTTTGCTCTCTAACTTCCTCCCGAACTCTGTGTCCCCCTTCCCCCCTTCTGTGAGTCCTTATTTATAGAGTTTAGAAGGGAACACTTAGGAGGGAAAAAGAAAATTTTAAAAATTAAATTACAGGAGGGAAAATAAAAGAAAATCAAAAATACATTTAAATCTTCCTAAAATCCTGCTCATTTCCTATTTGAACTGATATTTGTTGTTGATTTGATGGAGCCTCAATTTGAATTTAATTGTTGATATTTTTCCCACCAATTTTGAACTTGACTGGCCATGTACAAAATAATAGATCATTTATGCTTCACTCAAGTCTTGAACTCAAGACCTCTTAAACGTTGGTTGTGCAGTAGACCATCTCTCCTATAATGCTTCTGGTGTTCTTCTTAAGCTATAAATAAACTGCAATAATTTCTCGCATTTTTGCCATTTTTGCTTCTTTTCTTCTCATTCCGAAATTTATATCTTTAAAACAGAAAACCTATATATAATAATATTTAAATAATATAAAATACTAATAAAATATTTATTTGAGTGCATAAAATAATGGGTTTTGTGCACCTATCACTCTTTGTCTCTTAACCCTCTATATACCATAGTTTCCTTTTCAAAATGGTGCATCTAAGGGTGCACATTGTATGTGACCATACCATCTAAGTCTGTTATCCTTATTTGTCACCTATGTTGAATGAACTCTTCAAAAGTAGGTGTAGTACCTGTGTCAGAGGCACAATACTCAAACATAGGGCACAAGATATGTGTCCAACACTTTGGGTTTAACATGCACCTAAAAAATATATCCAATTGTTCAATTTTATTTATATTATTACTTCAAAATAAGTGAAATGTCTATATTGCGCACTATGTTACATAAAAACATTATCTTACTCTAGAAAATAAAATAAAAATATTAAATAAAATGAATATTTAGAAGTATCCACGTGTCCTTCTGTTTGGCGATTTGACATGTCCAACGAGTTGATACGTATCCATACCCGACACACATAGCCAAGTCCATGCAACATAGTTTGTCACTAATAGGAACCACTCCTAATTTCCATCCCCTTTGTCTCTTGCATAAAAAAAATGAACTACTATTTGTGGAAAACCCTTTCAACATAAAGCTATTTTCCACAAGAGGATATCCATTTAAGTTTATTTCATTTCATATTGCACATTTCCTACAACAAAAAACATATGAATGGTAAGTCTTAATGCTACTTAAAGGTATACAATTAAAAAAAATTTTTAAAAATATTTGATGTTCAAGGTCCTCCTAGTAACCTGAAATAGATTGAAGGTTTTTGATGCTGTTGATGGTGAACTGAATGTTTAGCTTCTGGGAAGAGTTTTCATTAAAACATGCAACAGAGCAAAGAGGAAGAACAAGAACATATTGAGGTGGCGAGAAAAGGCATGACAACGGAGGATGTGGTCCTTGACAGATCTGAATGGTAAAGAAAATATGTGTAACTGACTCCAACCCGTTGAAGCATAGACTATATTCGTTTAATTTTTTCCTTCTCAGCAGACCAAAACCCAGAAGCAACTTGTAGGTGTTCACATGCAGTTCACTTCACTGGACCAGTCAATTTTTTAATCAATTATCACAACGGGGATTGAACAACTAGCATAGGATTTTGGTCCATAAGAGTTTCAACATGTCCCAGTCAACATCAATGGTTAAGTGACTTAAGACCTACACTCATTTTTTTTTTTTTTTTCTCAAAAGGTTGTAAGACCGACACTTTGGTGCTATATCCCCTACTTTTTGTCACCATTTAGTTCATTGTAATCCATGAGTTATCAAACAGCGATAATTTTCTGTTTTCAGTCCTGAAATTGGAAGGAGAGTAGGCCTGGAATCCATTATGTAGCAAAAAACTTCCCAAAGGTCAACGTAATTAATTGAAAATAAAAAATTTTGGGGTATTTTTGCAAACGCTTGAAAATTGTGTGCACTAACTGCAAGGAGTAGTATTGTAGTAAAAGAGAAGATGACGCTAGTCATGTGAGATATATTAACATTTTCAACACATTCTTCTGATAAGGAAGAGGAACAATGATTTTTAAAAGAAGTTACTACTTACTTTTACTACCACGATTATTCAAGATCTTAAAAGGTATATACATTAAAAACACAAATACAAGAATAACTTAAGACAGAAACCCAATCTACACAAGTTAGATCAATAAGAAAATTTATGCAATAGCAAAAGGCATGCAACTATGAAAAAAAATAAAATAAAATAAAAAAAGGCATCTTAAAGACTTAAACTAGAGAATTATGAAGGAATGGTTTCGATTCAGCAGAGAAGGGTCAGAAAGGAGACCAGAGAAAGCCAGGATCCTTATCCATATATTAAATTCTTCATTTCCATTTCTTTTTCTTGATAATTTCTGTATGACTTATGAGAAAAAACACAACCACAAGAGACAGAAAATTTATCCTCTTCCCCACTTCCTTTTCACGTTCATAATTATGTTACCCTCTAAATTGAAGTTTCTACCTCATCAACACATAATCACTAGTCATTTCCGAAAAATCTGTATTTCAAGTTTTTCACTCTTATTAGGATAATATACATTTGATTCCATATTCTAAAAGCTTCAATCAATGAAAACTAAACCATATATTGATATATATTGGTAGAAAGTTATTGCTTCCATATTCTGTTTCACATATATTTACATTAGTGACAAAAGAAGAATATAGGGTTTTGGCTTACTCAAACTGAGAGCCAAGAGCTATATTTATATACAAGAATGGGTACAAAGAAAGGAAACCAAATCAAAGAAAGACAGGAAATATGCCAAAATGTACATGATCCCATGATTACGGGGGTCTTATCTACGTGATCCTATGATTACAGGAATCTTACATAAAACACCTAATAAAAGGCTGAAAAGAGCTAATAAAAATAAAAAATAATATAATACAAATGTTTCAACACTCCCCCTCAAGCTAGAGTGAAGATATCAATCAAGCCCAACTTGGTAATCGAGGAATAAAGCAAAGATGGACCAACGGATTTGGTGGAACACATCTGCCGACTGATTAGAGGACCGAACAAAGCACAGCTTGATAATTCCCGAACGAACCTTCTCTCTGATAAAATGAATGTCCACCTCTATATGTTTAGTACTCTCATGAAGAACAGAATCTGAAGCAAGCATGATGGTTGACTTATTATCACAAAACAAGCCCGAGGACTGTTTTCACTTAGCCCTAGCTCCTCCAAGAAAGATCGAAGCCAGAGAATCTCACAAGTACCCTGGGCCATGGCACGATATTCAGCCTCTGCTGAAGATCTCAAAACTACAGGTTGCTTCTTACTTTTCTATGATATAAGATGATATCCATAGAAAGTACAGAAGCCAGATGTGGAACATCTATCAGTCTTGGACCCAACATAATTTGCATCACTAAACAGAATAACCCAACCTGTCTGCTAGAAGAATAGAATAATCCAAGTCCAGGACAGGACTTATGATATCGAAGAATGTGATATACCGCATCCATATGAGTT